TAAAAAGAAAGCTGGAGTAGCAATATTTATATTGGACAAAATAGACTAAAAAAAAAAAAGGCTGAACCAAGGAACCAAAAAAAAGGACACTATATAATCATAAATGGTACAATCCAACAAGATATAACAATTGTAAATATTTTTGTACTGAACATGGGAGCACCCAAATACATAAAGCAGCTAGCAACAAACATACAGAAAATAATCAATAGTAATACAATAATAGTAGGGGATGTCAACACCCAACTTATATCAATGGATGGATCATTAAACAGAAAATCAACAAAGAAACAGTGGCTTTGAATAGCACATTGGACCAGATGGATCTAACAGATATATTCAGAACATTCCATCCTAAAACAGCAGAATACACATTCTTTCCAAGTGCACATGGGACATTCTCCAGAATAGTTCACATACCAGGCCACAAAACAAGTCTCAACAAATTTAAATAGATCGAAGTCTTACTACGCATCTTTTATGACCACAGTGCTATGAAACTAGAAATCAACCACAAGAAAAAAATTTGGAAAACACACAAATACATGGAGGTTCAATACCATGTCACTAAACAATGAATGTATCAACCAAGAAAGCAAAGAGGAAATTAAAAAATACAGGGAGACAAATAAAAATGAAAACACAATGGCCCAAAATCTTTGAGATGCAGCAAAGGCTGTTATAAGCTTCATTCTATGAAGCCAACATTACTCCAATACCAAAACCAGATAAAGACACTACAAAAAAAAAAAAAAAAAAAAGGGAAACTACAGGCCAACATCTCTGATGAACATAGATACAAAAATCCTTAACAAAATACTAGCAAACTGAACACAACAATATATTAAAAAAAATCATTCACCACAATCAAGTGGGATTTACATGTGAGATGCAAGGACGATTCAATATTCTCAAGTCAATCAATGTGATATATCACATCAATAAAAGAAGGGATAAAAAATATATGATCATTTCAATAGATTCAGAAAAAGCATTTGGCAAAGTAGAACATCCATTCATCATAAAAACCCTCAACAATTTAGGATTAGAGAAAACATTCTCAAAATAATAAAGGCCATATATGAAAAACCCACAGTTAACATCACACTCAGTGGTGAAAAAATTAGTGTTTCTCCTAACACAGTAGATGTCCACTCTCACCACTATTATTTAACATAGTACTGGAAGTCCTAACCACAGCTATCAGACAAGAGGAAGATATAAAAGGCATCCAAATTGGTAAGGAAAAAGTAAATTTTTTACTATTTGCAGATTACATACTACTATATATTCACAACCCTAAAGACTCCACCAAAAACACTACTAGAACTGATAAATGAATTCAGTAAGTTTGCAGGATACAAAATCAATATACAGAAATCAACTGAATTTTTATATATGAATAATGAAGCAACAGAAAGTAGGAAAGCAATCGCATTTACAATCACACCAAAGACAGTAAAATACCTAGGAATAAACTTAACCAAGGAAGTAAAAGACCTGTACTCTGAAAACTATAAAACACCAATTAAAAATATTGAAGATAACACAAACAATTAGAAAGATATCCCCTGCTCATGGATTGGAAAAACAAATGTTAAAATGTTCACATTACCCAAAGCAATCTACAGATTTAATGCAATTCCTATCAAAATACCAACAACATTTTTCACAGAACTAGAACAAAAAATCCTAAAATTTGTGTGGAACCAAAGAAGATCTCGAATAGCCAAAACAATCTTGAAAAAGAAAAACTAAGATGGAGGTATCAGAATTCCAAGTTTCAAGTTATAATACAAAGCTGTAATAATAAAAACAGTATGGTATTGGCACAAATATAGACACATAAGATAAATAGAAGAGAAAGCGCAGGAATAAATCCACAATTATATGGTTAATTAACCTTTAACATAGGAGGCAAAGGATGCCTGGGTGGCTCAGTCAGTTAAGCATCTGCCTTAGGTTCAGGTCACGATCCCAGGGACCTGGGATTGAGTCCTACATTGGTACCTTGCTCAGCAGGGAGCCTGCTTCTCCCTCTGCCGGCCGCTCCCCCCTGTTTGTGCTCTCTGACAAATAAATAAATAAAATCTTTAAAACAAAACAAAAACAAAGGAGGCAAGAACGTGCAACGGGAAAGAATCTCTTCAACAAATGGTGTTGGGAAAACTGGACAGCTACATGCAAAAGAATGGCACTGGACCACTGGCTTACACCATACACAAAGATAAACTCAAAATGGACTAAGAGCCTAAATGTGAGACATGACACTATAAAAATCCCAGAAGAGAACACTGGCAATAATTTCTCCGACACTGACCATAGCAATCTTTTCCAGATAGCTTTCCTGAGACCAGGGAAACAAAAGCAAAAATAAACTATTGGTATTTCATCAAAATTAAAAGCTTCTGAACGGTGAAGGAAATAATAAAACAAAAAGGCAATCTACTGAATGGGAAAATATATTTGCAAGTGACATCTCTGATATTAGTATCCAAAATATATAAAGAACTTATATAACTCAACATCCCCCCAAAGAAATAATTTAATTAAAAAATAGGCAGAAGACATGAATAGACATTTCTCCAAAGAAGACACCCAGATGGTAAAACAGACACATGAAAAGATGCTCAACATCACTCATCATCAGGGAAATGCAAATCAAAACCACAATGAGATATCACCTCGCACCTGTCAGAATGGCTAAAATCAACAAAACAAGAAACAGTAAGTGTTGGAAAGGTTGTAGAGAAATAGGAATCCTCATGCACTCTTGGTAGGAGTGCAAATTGGTGCAGCCAATGTGGAAAACAGTATGGAGGTTCTTCAAAAAGCTAAAAATAGGGGCACCTGGCTGGCTCAGACAGTAAAGCATAAAACTCTTGATCTTGGGGTTGTGAGTTCAAGCCCCATTTTGGGTATAGAGATTACTTAAAAATAAAATCTTAAAAAAAAAAAAAGTTAAAAATAGAACTACCTTAAGATCCAGTAATTGTACTACTGGGTATTTACCCAAAAAATACAAAAACACTAATCAAAGGGATATGCACCCCGATGTTTATAGCAGCATTGCTTACAATAGCCAAATTATAGAAGCAATCCAAGTGTCCATTGATAGATGAATAGATAAAGAAGATGTGGTATGTACATATATGTGTGTGTGTGTGCGCATATTATTTATATATATATAGGAATAATACTCAGCCATCAAAAATAAAATCTTGCCATTTGCAACAACAGGGATGAAGATATAGAGTATAATGGTAAGGGAAATAAGTCAGTCAGAAAAAAACAAATACCATATGATTTCACTTAAATGCAGAATTTAAAAAAATAAAACAGACAAGCAAAGGGAAAAAAGAGAGAGAGAGAGAGAGAGGGAGGGAGAGAGAGAGAAGAGACAAACCAAGAAACAGACTCTTAACTATAGGGAACAAACTGATGGGAAGTGGGTGGGGGGAATGGGTTAAATAGGTGATGGGGATTAATGAGTACACTTACCATTATGAGCACTGAGTAATATATAGAACTGTTGAATCATTATATTGTACACCTGAAACTAATATAACACTATGTTAACTATACTGGAATTTTAAAAACTTAAAAAATAAAAAAGATATATGAAAAATGAGACTTTCTAGCTGTTGTAATTTCCATTTGTTTGATTATCAACCAGGCTGAAGATGTCCATATGCTTTTTTTTATTTCTTTTTTTGTGAATTGTCTGTTCATGGCCTTTATGTATATATTGGTTGAAATATTTACTACATTTCTCACATATTTTTGAGAAAAGGTTAATATTTCATATATATTAAACCTCCTATCACATATATTTAATCTTTACTCATTTTGTTGTCTACATTTTGTTTTTATATTCTCAGAACTAAAAATTTGTTTTTAGTGTTTTTCTTTTGATAATGATGTATCTGATATTTAATCTGACTTTAAAAGTTATTTCTTTAGCCACCCCTCCCCATAAATTCAAAGTCCATTTCTCTTGTTAAGTATTCTATTAATTTTTACAGTTTTTATAGTTATTAATTGTTCTATTAATTTTTCTACAGTTTTAGTAAAATTTTTCCTGATTTTAAGAGTAACATATAATAATTGTAAAAAAAAAAAGTATACATATACAAAAATCTTATGCAATTAAAAAAAAGTCAAGGATTCCACTGCAAATGTAATCTCTTAAAATTTTGTCATATTTCCTTCAATTATTTTTTATGATTTTTAATTTAATTGAAAGCATATAGTATATTTTAGATTATATTACAGATAATTCTATGACATAAAAATAATACTACCCTACCCTGTACATAAAAATTTATTTCTAAACTAAGATCTTTCGTTAGGTCATCAGAAGTACTGGTTAATGTTAACATGAAATTTTAAGTTGTTTTTGGTTTTTGTTTTTTTTTTTAAGATTTTATTTTTAAGTAATCTCTACCACAACGTGGGGCTTGAACTTGCAACCCTGAGATCAAGAGTCAAATGCTCTACTGACTGGGCCAGCCAGGCATCCCAAACTTTTAAATCTTTTGATGTACACTGCAAAACTGTCTTCCAAAATGCCTATATGAACTTACATTCCTTCTAGAAATGTGGACGTTTCATTTATCCTAACTACCACAAGTGTATTATGTTGCATTTATTTACTAATTTGGTAGGCAAATATGCTATTTCATTTTTATTTTAGTTTCTATTTCTTGTAGATCAAACAATAATTAACTCCTTAATGAATCTGAAATTATTTTGGAAAACTAGGAGTTAAATCCCAATTCCAAAATAACCAATATTGTAATTCTACTTTTGTCCATTTGATCTATAATAGCATCTAATTTGGGGTAGTTTATTAAATTCTACTAGTTTGACTGTTCTTGTGCCAGTTACATAATATTTTATTTGTTGGTGTCTTGTAAATGCTTTAATATCTGGTTGAACTAGTTTTATAGTTTCATCAATATTTTTTTTCCCTTTGTATTTTCTTTAATAGTCCTATCTGGTGGGTTTTTTTTTTTTTTTTGGCCCTGAAACTTCTAAGCAACTATTGACTTTTTGATCAAAATTAAATATATAAAATTATTGTTTAACATTTTATTTAAAGAACCTATATATATCCTCCTAAGTTTATTTCCAAATTGTTAACTTTGTTGTTGTTTTTAGAATTTTTTTTAACATACAGATGGCAGGAACATAGCAATGGTTTTGAATTTTCATTCTGTTGATGTTGTTCTTTTTGAGCCACCTAAGTATATGCCTTGGGACTTACTAGGAAAAAAATATGTTGCATACAAATAATCATACTTTTATTTCCCCTCTTTCTATATTATTCATTTCTCTTTCATATCTCATTTCCTTAATAAAATTGAGAAAGCAATTTTTCTTAGTAATAACAGGAATCCTAGTTTAGTTCTTGCCCTTTGTATCTAATATCTTTATAGTTTTAGTGTGTGTCTTAATATGCCAAAAATATTTTACCACTCTCAATTTTATTAGGAATGATTAACATTACTAAATTTGTATTCCAATAAGTGAAATATTACATTATAAGATTAATTTATATTGAAGCTACCTTTGAATTTCTGGGTAAAACTCTTGATTGGTGGTATCATGGAATTCATTTACAATATTTCTAGTTTCCATTTACTGGTATTGCCCAGAAATTGAATATTTAAAAAAGACATTCTCTTATGATAACAGAAAAAAATTCTTATTTTCTTATTTAATAGAAAAATAGTATCTCCAAGAGATAGTATCAATTAAGTAATGATCAGAAAATACCTTTTTTTTTTGACCAAGAAAAGGTATTTATTGAACAATTACCCACCACTGGATTTAACTTAGGCAGTCCAGATAGTGGGTGTCTCCACCTTCCTGATTTATTTTCAGCCCTAAGGGTATCATTGTAGATCAAAGCCAAGGCCCCCAGGGAAGGTGACATATTCCCGGAAGTTTACCACCTGGTCCTTTCTCACATACAGGTCTTCCATCAGCTTGCAAAGTCAGCATCCTGCCCCTTTGGGCCAATGGTGAGTTTTCCTGGATCACTGCCTTCAGCTCCTTGCTCAGCCTGTTCTTGTTGCCTTCCCTGCCTGAGTACTTATGGAAGATGGCCACGAGGAAGCCAATGGCCCGATCCAGGGGGCATGCCTTGGCGGGGCGCTGGTCTCAGAGCACACAGCCGGGCAAGAGTCAAAGAATCGAGAAAATACTTTTGAATAACTGAATTCCCCAAGTAATTGATTTCTTATATATAAAGATAATAAAGATATCAAAGATATCAATCTTTGGTTCTCTTATATTTACTTAGTAATTACTGTTCACAGATTCAAGATAAAGCAGGAGTTAGTTAATATATAACTCCCTATAACCTGCTGAATGATAATATAAACAAATACTATCTGATATTATGTACAGTCTAGCAAGGATTTGGTGGCATATAAAGAATTTGGTCTTCACGACTTTGGTTTGGCCTTTCCTTAACCACTGCTTCCCAGGCAAATTACTTTCAGCCACACCGGGCATTTTATTATTCCCTTAACCATGGTACTCTTCCACATTTCTCTGCTTTTATTCACATCATGTTTTCATTCTGAAACATTCTTTCTATGTAAAACTGCATTTTTTATCTTTAAAGCTCTACCTTAATAGTTATTTCTTCAGCTTTCCCAATGAAAATACTAATTTCATATAGCCACTTTCATGCTAATTTTATTTACAGGTCTTTGAGACTAGATTTTGAACCTATCTAGGATGATGACAGTCTCTATTTATTTTGGTATCTTCTGGAGCCATGTAATAGGAGCTCATTAACTACTACTTACTCAATGAATGAGTGATATATGAGATTCTTCATTATAAACTTACCCTGGCCCGCATTAAAAATGGATTATAATTTCAACTAAAGAATGCCTAGTATAAAAGAAAAAAATATTTTTCTTTGTTCCTATATTCATCTTCTGTTTTACTATACTACAATAGAATATTAGTATTATTGTCTTAGTTGTTACAGACCATGTTCTAGATAGTAAGGGTATAATATCTTAAGGACATTCATGATCTCTAGCTCATATGCAGTATGAAATCATGGCCTGGGCTCATATGGAGAATGCTATAGTGAACTTCTCTCTATTCATTTCTTTTCAGAAACATTAATAATGGGAAAATATCACACACCCACACCTGAGCTGCCAGTCCCCAGAGAGACTTGCTTTTGCATTTGCATTAAACTGAAAAGAGACTTCTTTCACAGTTGCTTTAGCATTAAGAAGAATGTCCTTTTACCCATTTGACAGAGATTTCTCACATAATCACATGGATGTTGTTCTTAGTTAAATACAGGTATACAAGAGGAAGAGTATTGTAAAATCAGGAAAAAAAAAAACAATTAAAATAATCAATTGAATTCCTGGGAGGCTTCTTTTCTTCTTTCATGGAAATGCAAGGTAATTCAGTTATGTCTTGTCAATTATTAATGCAATGTTTTTTTAATGCATGGATTATAAAATGAAATATTCTGTGTCTTCTGGCTCTGAATGTTGGATCTGAATTTAAATTTGCCCTTTTCATTCACTAGAAGCAGAGAAGCAAAGATGAGGAATGAAGAGAAAGGCACACACAGGGCAGACAATGGTGGTCAGCAGGAAACTAAAGGCAGGTGGTAGAATCAGATGGCTAAGGAAGCTAGATAAATCCCACATCCTTTAGCTTATCTTTATTTAAAACTCTGAAGAGAAGCAGTTAAAAAAAAGATTATAAAATAGCAAGGTTTATCAACAATTTCATTGCCTAATAGACTAATAGCAGTTTAAAGTATGATTGGGTTATCTAATGAAAACTCAAAGTAGAGAAGCATCATGAGGAATGCTAATTTTTTTAAATAAAAATACCTGAAATTTTCTAACTTTAGAGTTGTTTTTGTGAATGTTGGATAAGTCAGAGGTTTAGGTGAAGGGAAAAAATTACTTTGGAATTTAACAGAAGTGACTAACTACAAATAAGCCACAAGCCGCTTTGGGAATTATAAAGCATGCTGAAATAGTTATGTGAGGCCCTTGAATGGTGCTACCGTATATGTCCACTGCTCCTCCAAAAGTTGTGCCTAATATACTAAAGGAAATAATTACAAAGCTTTTGAGGTTCAAGTCTAAACAAAGGGAATCAAATGCTTTTATTGTCACGCAACATTTTGAAACTGACAACACTGTAATAACTTGTGGTTTACAGTTAACCAAGCAAATAATTTGACTCAATTTATATGTTTATGTTGATATAGTAAACACAATTCAAACAGTACCATAATAATAGAGTATTTTGAAATTACAATAAAACAAACATATAATTACATATTTATGTTAGTTACTCCTAGACAATAGAACAGAAGCACAGAATACAAATGTTCAGAGCAAGGCTGGTAAACTTGATAAAAAAAATGCCACAAATGACAGGTGTCCCTAATTCAGATTTTTCAAATGCCAGATTCTCTCTTAGGATCATGTTTGAAAAGAAGCAAGTCCATCCTTTTCTCTTAATGTAAATCGACAACTTTGGCTATAATAAAAGCTACAGACAAGCAACACTGAAGGTTGCAAAGAGGGAAGATATTTAATCAACAAGGAATGAAGTGAAAGTCTGCTATTTGAACGAAAGACTGATGCCCTCACTGATAACAGTGGTCTAGTTTACTGTAATAATTGAACAATTTCCTATTTTATCTTTCTACTTTCTGATTCTACCTTTTTTTTTTGTCCAGCCTCAACTGGTCCTTCAAATATCAGTCTGATTGATATTATTCTATAATATCATGCTTTTGAATTTAAATCCAGTGAGCTGATTTAACAATAAAGTAACAGTAAAAAACAAACTTGGTTCTGTGAAATAGGAGCTACAATATTCTTCATAATCATAATCCATAAAAGAAAAAAAAACCTCCTACTATAATTTCAATAATTCAGCCAATAGTATAAAGTCCTGATGGACAAAATAAAATCAGCCAAGTTCCTAAACAATGCATTTTGGATGCACTACCCTCACCACCAAGCTCTGTAAATGTGTAGTCCTCATTTACTGTGCCTATAACATCACTGACTCTTGCCTCAAACTACATACAATCAATATATTCATAAACATCATCATTTGCTTTGGATTTGATATCATTTAAATATTAAGATACTGCCAGTCCAGAAGAGAAAAACAGCATAATGCTGCTAGGCTTCATGGAACTATTTCTGAGTTTTAAGAGGCAATATTTCCTAGACTTTACCATATTACTTCAATATCTTAATTGGATTCTATGGTAATTTTAATGCAAACATATCATATTGGATTGCTGTGCCTCTTGCCAGATTTTTAAATTTGAAAATGAGTGTTTATATTGCTAAAATTAATTCAAATTGAGACTTCCAGATGTTTATATATGTGCACAGGTGTCTAGTCTCCCCTGTTCCATATGCCCATTAAAAATGAATACTGGTATATAAGAATAAAAGAAACCTTACATGTGGGCCCCAAACCAAGAAACGGTGCCATTCCTAAGCCAGAAACATCAAAGCCTTTCAACAGTAGTGGAACTAGGCTAAAGAAAACACTGTGGGTCAATCTTCTGAGCCACTTCTAAATTATTTTGCCCGAGAAATAAGTGGAGTAGGCTTTGGTTGATTTCCACAAAAATCTCTTCACTCAAAGAAGTTGAAGATGAGAATAGACAAAACATGAATCCACCAGACTGCACAGATGGATTATTTTTCACTGTTGTTCACTGGCTCCAGTTGGAAGCATCGATTCAAGGAAGTACCAAAGACCATTTCAAATGCCAGTGGCTAGAGCAAGCAAAAATTTGAAAGCATCATTTTTATTCCAAAAATTATTTCTGATCATACATTGTTATATTTCTATTACTGCTTGCTTTAATTTCTATGATGCACTATTCTATTAAATCTTATTTTAACTGTGAATGAAAATGTATTATTTTTTAATCTCTTGATAGAAATGCTTCATATGCATACCATAGCTCTGACTCAGCAGGGATAGCAGAATATCTCTATGCAGTTTCTTACACTGCAGAATTTTCTCAAACATCTGACTTTTGTCAGTAAGTTTGGTCAAAGATTGGAGTGTTATCTGCTTACATTGTATTTTATTATTTCCAAAAATATGGAAGATAGGTACAGAGTTAAAACAATGTGCATACTCAGAAATAGAATTTTTTCTTCTAAGTTGTCTCTCTGTACACTGACAGATTTCCTGTGATGTTCATAGTATGATGAATATCCCATACTATAGCCAAGATGCTACTGTGCCTGGTGTTTCTATCATACCGCCAATGGCACTTTACTGCATGTTGCCAACCCCATGCCAGTTTTTTGCTTGCAAAAACTAAAGGTGTATAAGAAGATCAAACCTACTTATAATAGAAATTCAAGGAGAACCATAAAAAAGGGAAAAAAATCTATGAAATTACCCTCTCCAAATTTCAGAAGGACCTGAATGTATAGATTTAAATGCCCAAGTTCCCTCCTGAAATGAAGCAATTGAGAGTAGCACCATCACTGCACATTTATGAATTTCAAGACAAAAGAAAAATCCCTCCAATTATCTATGCTTGAAACAAAAAGCAGGCTTACCTCAAATTCTGCTTCTGTGTTACTAAACACCACAAACTACTTAAACATGGTCTATAAAGATTTTGGGGGCAAATGTATTTGTGTGAGAAGACAACAGAGTGTATTTGTAATATATGCAAGGTATGTTAAACACATTCTATTCAGTATAATTAAATTTATTCTCTAACTACTTGGGAGATAAAATAATGAAACAAAATCACCATCATAATATGAAAGTATAAACTGCTTGATGTTGAAATAACAGAACAAAATGTAAATAATTATTTTTAGTTATAAATAAACCCTATGCAAATCTCAAAAATTAGTCCTGAAAAAATAGATGTAAATATGAAAAATAATACATGAAAATAAATACATTCTGAAATAAAGTAAAACAAATTCAGCAATCAAGACAACATGAATGAGGGGCATCTGTGTGGTGCAGTCAGTTGAGTGTCCAACTCTTGGTTTCAACTCAGGTCATGATCTCAGAGACCTGAGACCGAGCCCCATGTTGTCGGACTCTGCACTCAGCCTGGAGTCTGCTTAAAATTCTCTCTC